CACCAAGAAGTCAACAAAACTCCTAGTGCTGGTGAAGCTGCAGAGGAAAAGAACCCTTCTACACTGCTGTTGAGAATATAAATTAGTGCAAGCATTACAGAAATCAGTATGCAGATTCCCCAAAACACTAAAAATAGACATTCCATTTAACTCAGCTATTTCCCTCCTGGGTATCTTCCTGAAAAGATTAATGATACCATATTTCTGAAGTACTGCACATGAAGCACAATTAATAATAGAATGTTGGCAGTGGCCTAAAGGCCCATCATAGATAAATCAATAAAGAAAATATAGTGTGTATACATACAATGGAATAGTACTCAGCCATAGAGAGAGATAATTTTGGGTCATTTGAAGGAGAATGAATGCATCTTGAGACTATAACGCTATGTGAAATAAATTAGTCACAAAAGATTAAATATACCATGGCTTCTCTTATATGAGAAACCCCAAATATAAAATAATTTAAAGCACAAAATAAAAACCTAGAATAGAGATGTGAAGAGGATCTAGAGATGGTGAAAGAGGGAAGAATAGAGGAGAGAAGGAGAACTCTAAAGGATTAAGATTATGTATATGTACCAATGACCCATGATAAATGGGTCATTATGTAGTATAAATATGTATCAATAAACATACACTAGTAAAAATGATGTCACCTTTGTACATGCATAGTTTGGCATCTGCTTTTCTATTCTGGATGCCTTTATTTATTTTTCTTATCTAATTGACCTTGTTAGTACTTAAAATATTAAACAAAAGTGGTACAAGTGAGTATCCTTGTCTTACCACAGATTTTAAAAACAAAAAAAAATACTTTCTGGTTTACCACATTCAACTTGATATTGACTGTGGGTTTTTCATACATTTTCTTTATATTTTGAGGCATGATTCTTCTATCCCTAAATAACTGAGAATTTTTATGATGAATGGACGTTGAATCTTTTCACGTGTTTTTTGTTTACAGTATTTTGAGATGACCGTACAATTTTTGGTTTTATCCTGTTGATATGATAGATTTAGAAATGTAAAATCCTCCTTGTACCACTAAGATGAATCCCACTTAACCACAGGGGTGATTGTTTGGTCTCCCATTGGATTTAATTTACTAGATTTTTGTTGAAAACATTTGCATCTGTATTCATCAGGGAACATTCTGGATTTTTTCTACTTCACATAGTCTTCCTCAGTACAGTGCAAGTAGAGACTTTGTTTTGTTCACTGATAAGCCTGAGATTAGACATCGGATGAAGAGGATGATCACGAGACAAAATCATAGACTTTGAGTGTCTCCCCCGCCCCCCCCCCCCCCGATTCTGAGAAGAATAAAACCTAGAGGAATTGCCTGACATTACCAAAGTCTTTGAGTGTTGAAGCCCCACAAAGCCTGGACCTGGTACCAACGTTTGCACCAAGATATGTGCAAAGGGAAGACGGTCCTTTGTAATGTGATAACAAGCGCTCCAAAGGCTGGGGTGTTCACCAGAAGGTGTTGGTCGCCCTGGGGGATGAGACCTCTGAACTTAGTTTATAATTAAAATGAGGGATTGGAATCCATACCAAGGAGAATAGGGGAATGCACAGAGATCTTTGGAGGCTGTGCTAACTGGATTTAAAGCTTTTTTTTTTTTTTTTAACTAGGAATTGAACTCAGAACCTTGTGCTTGCAAACAGGCACTTATGCCACTGAACTATATACCCAGCCCTTAAAAGCTATTTTTTATAAAACAAAACTCAGGCTTCTCATTTGAACCTACAGATACCCAGTAAGTAATTAAAAGTGGAAAAAGTCTTGACTTTCATTTTGTGTCTGTCTCCTCTATTTTCTTAAAACTTTGCATCAGATCTTTGGTCAGCTTCTTATATAATCATATCCAGCATTTATGGAATGTCTAAGAGGTGACAATTCAGGATGGATTACCTTTAAATGTATGTAACCTACCCCACCCCTTTTAAAACTCAGAACACCAAGATAAGAGATTTATTGGGACATTCAGCTCTCAACAAGTACCCACAAATCTCGAGTCATTGCCCCAAACTTCTTTTTTTTTTTTTAATTTTATTTAAGAGGAAAAAGAGAAAAACACAAAACAAAACAAAGCGGTATAAGGGTACACGTAATACAGAACTACAAAAAAAAAAAAACCATAACAGTAAGAAATCACCTGTTAATAAATTACATATTATCATCTTGGAAATAGTTGCTCAAATCACAGTATCAAAGAATACAAAGTGGACATTCAACCCAAACTTCTAATCACCTTGAGTTTCAGGAGCGCTTCCTCAAAACAGACTATCCCGAGCAGAAACAGAGATAAGATTAATCAGTAAGAACTTCTCCAGCCGTCTTCCAAGTCCTGAACTGAGATAATGATCACCATTCTCTGTCCCACTCAATTCTGTATAAGCTGGTCTCACTCTTATTCTTTTTATTGGTGTTGTGCTCCATCAAGCTGAGGTCTCTTCCCCATTAGTTCTTACTTTCTGCCTAATAAATCAGCCTGCGCCTTTCACAGATGCATCCTGAAATACTTTTCCATGTTCAGAGCCTATCCAGGGTGAGCTGAGGTCACCATCTCCTCTTTGGGGGAGCTACTCAGACACTGTCCAGTGACAGTGAGGATAAGGTCCATCAACTGAGTAGCGTACGGAATAGAAGTTGATTGTGTCAGTTTCTGGACTCAGATCCAAGGCGTCTGCACGCTTAGGCTTTCTGAGAGCTGAGACCTTGTTCTGTGCCTGTCTCCTACTTTCTAGTGATTTCTGCCACTATGGATCACCTTGTCTTGTGGAAACATCACCCTGGTCAGTGCCTTTGTCTTTGCATGATATTCACCCTCTCTGATGCCTCCTACTCCGCATTTTCTCTTTGAGTTTGTTGTTTGAGAAAGAATTTTACTCTGTAGTCCACACTGGACTGGCACGCCCTGTCCCACCCAGGCTGACCTCAGACTCGTGACCCCCTTACCTCAGTCTCCAGAGTACTGAACTTGCACTTCTATGTCTGGCTCAATTTCCCATTTTTAAAGACACTAGTCATTCAGGGCTAGGGACAGTCCTGATAGCTTCATCTTAACTCAGTCACACCTGTAAAAGTCCTGTTTGAGGGAAGGCCACGTGACAAGTTACCAGGACTAAAACACAGTTCAACCACTAACATAGGCAAATCACTTCATGCAAATCCCTAAAAGGTGCAAGAAATTAACCTAGTTGTCCAGACCCTCTCCCCAAATACTGGACTCCAGAGGCAGGCAGAACAGCAGAAGTGAGGCTTTAACACTGTCAGTCTCTCACGCTTGGCTGTCTGATCTGACAGGCACACACAAATTGAGAAGCTGTGTGCTTTTTTGTTCCAGCTTGCAAGAATCCCTCTCCCCACCTCCCATGGCCTGGGGTCTGGGTCCACAGTCTTCTCTGGCCAAAGCTTGTTCCTTCCTTTTCCCCTCTCCCTCGGTGCCCCTTCCTCCCTCTGTGCACTTTTTGAGGTTGTTTATGACTTTTTGGCTTCTCAGGATCTCAAATCACAAAAACTTATTTGCCTCACAATTATGTCCTAGCTCAGTACCTTATTGATGGTGTGGGCCATTTTACAGCCCGTGTGTCCTGTGTCTACCATTTGACCTGGTTAATTCTATGAATAAGTACTTGTTAAAGTACTTAATGAAATATGGACCTATGAAAATATTTTTCTTTCTTGTAAAAGAAAAGCTTCTTGAATAGCTGTTAGGATAGACTGTGATTCTGAAGTAATTGCCCCTCTGAACTAGGTGTGTCTTAATGTAACAAACGTTCAGTTCTCACTCACACTAGGTCCACTGAGAACAGGAGCACTTCCAGGACAGCCGTGCTCTGAAGTACAACTCAGCACACAGACTGTTTCCAGATCTACCAGAAGGGCTGAGAAAGGCTGAGAGCTACCCGTGGTTTTCCCTGGGCTCAGCCTGGAAGGAACTCTTCATGTAGACACTCACGTTGGAAGCAGGCTCCGGATTGTACACCTGCGAGGGGCTGGACAGGGCTGCAGAGATGAACAGTTCACATGCACCAAAATATTGGCTGCAGGAAGGTCTTAGGATGGCCTTCGGGGTGCGTCTGTCATCCCAGGGAAGCTAAGCCCACAGGCTGCAGAGCAAGAAGAAAGATATTTACTTTGGGAATTAAAACCAGAGTCACTGTGTCTACAAAGCCTGAAGAATAAAAAGCCAAGAGCTTAGGAAAGCATTATCTGGCCGGTTGTCACGCACAGGAGGACTAGTGTTAAGATTAAAGCAGCAGCTGGGAATGTCAGTGACAGTCCCTGGATTTCCCAGAATTGAAAACTCACTTGGGATGACAGAGAAGGACAATGAAGGGGAAGAAACGATTGATTCATTGACTCTTGTTGGAGAAAAAAGAAAACTTCCCATCCAACACCTTTCCTGCTGGACTGCAGGGACCCCAAGGCAGAAGTAAGATACAGTCTGTATCCTCTCCCACCTCTTCTTTGCAGAAGCTTAGAATGTATTTCTCATGAATGAATGTTTGATGGATGGAATGAATGCTTATCACTAAATTCACTTTTTGATTCTCAAATGCCATGCTTAACAGAAGAAAGGAGTGTCCACTAAGCATCCCATGTCCTGTGCAGGGGAGCCCATAGCCTGTGGGACGCATGGTCCTTGTTCACCATGGAACTGGCTGCAGGGAAGTGACTGACTGGTGGTCACACCCAGAGCTGGTTGTGGAAATTTACCATCAAGAGCTAAGCCATGTGAAAGGCTTCAAAATGACCTGAAATTTATTTTGGCGCAGCTCAATGAAGGCAAGTTTTTCCAAAACTCATCTGTGTCCTGCCAGCAGATGAAGGGGGAAAGAACGGGATTGCCCAAGGACACGGGTGTGCTAATCTTTGAATCCACCAACTGGCCCCACTCCAGTTGGCCACCCCTCAGTCATATACTTCACCTCCCCACCCTCCCAGATGGGGTAGCTATTTAAAAGCAGCTGGAATTCAGGAAAATAAGACGGTCACTTGGCAGGATCAACTCAAGCATCCTCTGAGAGGTAAATACCCAGACATGAATGCCCAGTCAAGAGTATTAGAATTTCTGCTCGGATTTGTCCTGTTAAGCAGAACTGTGGATGCCTGTGTATGTGACCTCCATGGTCACTGTATGACTTCATCGCACTTTTGTATGTACAAGAAAGTATGGGTGTGCAAGTATGCTAGTGAGGCTTATGCTTGTGAGCTTTATGAATACAAGGCTGTGTGAATTAGTGGGACACAAGAGCATGTGCACAGAGGCACCCACGCTGAGAATGGGGGTCTATCTGTATGTGTGTGTGTGTATACTTGTAAATGGCATAGGGTTGGACAAGCTTGCAAAAAGAGGGTGCTGCCTTATTTTAGAGGGAAAATATTGGGGATAAGACTACATTAATGAAATTCCCAGAACTTTAATGCAGTGTAGTAATAGGCAAGAAATGCCTAAAGGGGGAGAAGAGGACATGTCCTCTGATCTCAGTTTTTTTTGGAATAAACTTACTTCTACCCTCCTAGGAATCCTTGGGCTGTTGAGGAGTGAGGGAAGCTTGTATCATGTGACATCTCCAGGAATCTGGGGCCTCCATATGTGTGACACCAGTCCACAGAATTGGGAAGAATCAGGAGATGGTGTGAGTGTGTGTCGATTATTGCAGGCCTCTCTGTACACCCTACTGTGTGACAGAGGTGCTCTGGCTAGGTGTGGACTGGATGAAAGGCGTATCTATGTGCTCCAGAGTGGAGCTGGACAGCAGCGTAGGCACCAGAGCAGAAGCTGGGAATAGCTGAGGAAGGGGTCCAGGCCAATGTGTGTGTGCACCTGTCCTCCACAGAGCCCTCAGCATGAAGCTCCTCCTGCTGCTTCTGGTGGTCATGGCCTCTGGTAAGAACAGACCCTGATCTCTGGGCAAAGGGGGAGCAGCCACAGTGGGGTGAGCATCTGACCTCAGTAGTCCTTCCCCCCAGCCCAGCCTTCCCTCCCTGGGAAGAGCAGAGAAGACATTTGGGGAGGGAGAGAGGCAGAGAAGAGGGACCCCCATCTCACCTACAGGTGATTTCCTTCCAGACTTGCCTCAAGCCCACGGACACTTGAAGCAATTCACAGAAATGATCAAGCTCACGACAGGAAAGAATGGACTTACAAGTTATGGCGCCTATGGCTGTCACTGTGGTGTGGGTGGCAAAGGAACTCCCAAGGATGCAACAGATAGGTGAGGCCACCCCCGCCTTCCCTGCCCTCTGCTCATTTCTGGCCCTGCTAAGGCTGGGAGTTGGAAGGACAGATCTGAGACCAAGTGGCTCAAAGGTCCCAGAGGGTCTCTGCTGGTAAAGCAACCAGCATGTTGAAAACTCTGCTCCAGACTATTCCAAATTATTGAGTCTCTGTCCAGATTCATGGGAGAGGGGATGATGGGACACAGGCCTCTTAAAGCTATGAGAAGGCAGCTCTAACAGGATGTCCTCCTACCAGGTGCTGTGTCAGGCATGACTGTTGCTATGACCGTCTGATGAAGCGTGGATGTGGCACGAAATTTCTGAACTACCGGTTTACCCATAAGGGGAGCTCGATCACCTGCAGTGGTAAGAAGGAGCCCTGTGCCCCATCCTGTTTCCTTCCTGCCTGTGCTGATTCCCCCTCCTGTGCCAGGCATTGCACTGGCACCTGAGATAGAGCAACAAAGGAACATTGTCACTGTCTCAAGAAGGTCACGGTTGAGTGGTAGGCAGGAAAACTGAGAGCATGGGGTGGGGAAGGCTGCAGGAGGAAGGAATCGAAAGACAGACTCTTAAAATACCTTTGGCTCAAGGAAGTTCCTCAAAGTGGTGACATCTGTGGTGAGTCCCAGAGGCTGTGCAGAGAGGCAGGGAACAGAAGGGTTGGGGTTTTCCCAGAGAGGGCCTGAAGGGATCAGAGACCATATACTGAGGGGAAGTGTAAGAACCACCAGGCTGTGGGGAGGGACTGGATAAGCCAGACTTTCTGTGCTAGGTATCTGTGGCTTTTGTCTAAAAGCAGCAGGGAGCTATTTAGCAAAGGAGCTATAGGAGTAGACATTCAGTTCAGAAGATTCCTTCTGTCTCAGGATAGATGGGGTCATGTTGAAAGAGAGATCAGTCAGCAAACTTCCACCAAAATGCTGACAAGAGAGAGCAATCATGTGGAATAGAGCACCAGCGGTCAGGAGGGAATGGGTAGGCTGAGTCCAGATGCACTGGAGGAGAATCCACTGCGCTTGGTGATGGCCTGGGTCGGGGGGATGATGGGACAATAGGTAAAGATCATAGGCAGAGGCAGGGACAGGGTGGTTGGGACTCTGACTGGAGAGATTCAGGGGACCCCAGATGCCCCAGGAGCTGCACAGCAGGCAGCTAGATATGGCAACTTGCAGCTCAAGGAGGATCTGGCCTGGGTCACATTCAGAAGTCAATGATAGGGAACACGAGGGAGGTGCTCACCCAGTTTTGACTGAAGGCCTAGGAGAGAGACAGAAGGTTGGGCAGAGAACAGGGAAGAGGACTGAAAGAGAGGTCAAGGGGCCATTGAGGATTAACAATGGCCAGCTGACCAGAGGGGGCCTCGATAAGGAGGACACACAGGGCTCCCTCGCTTGGGGGACCTGAAGGACCCTCAGTGCTCCCACTCAGATGAGAGCGGTTCAGGCAGTGAGTAGGAAGCAGAGACCATGAGCTTGACCACTGTCCGGGGAAAGCCTGACTGAACAGGAGGAGGGAGATTGGTGGCAGTTGAAGCTAAGTCTCGCTGTCCCCAGACAGTGGATCCATGAGTGGGATTTGGAGAAAGCAGGGACTCCTGCCCACAACCTGAGTTCTTTAAGATCACAAATTACTTTTACCATTGCGCCCTCTTCTCAGGGGCCTGTCTCTCCATGGGTTTTAGGTCCCAGGCCACCTAATGCCCAGCTGGTGATGGATGATCTGGCTAATAGGGATGCCTGACTCTCACCTAACGAGAATTCCAGAAGGGGGCAGCACCATGCCTGGGCAGCTTCTCCACCATGTCCCAGCACTGTTCCTCAGCTAGGCCACAAGTGGCTGTATCTCCCTTTCTGCTGTCAGCACGGCCTGGAGCTCAGCCTCAGAGCAAGCTTTCCCACTACGCCCCTGCCTTTTGGAGGGAAGGAATCCACGTTTCTCAGAACACCCCAGCACACTTCTCCTATGGTTCATTGGCCAGAAGTAGAGCACATCCTATCCACAGGCCAATCACTGCCCGGGAGAATGCAGGCCCATGCCTGTCTTTCACCAATCACCATCCATCCCTGGGCTCCTGAGGCCAGCTTGGCCACCTCGACAGGTCTGTTAGCAGAAAAAAGAGAGAGCAGGCCCTGGAAGACCTACAGTAATGGTGGTGCTTGGTGCTGTGTGGCCCAGTTGGCCAGGGGGCCAACCCTGAGAAGACAGAATCTTGCCTCCCATTGGTCAGGACTATCTGAGATAGGCAGTTGTATCAGAAAAGGAACATCCGGGCCCAGGGCTGTGGTTTCTACCTCTACCCCCCAAGCCACAGAATAATGCAGCACCCCCTGGTGATTATATTTTTCTACTTTCAGTAAAGCAGAACTCCTGTCAGAAGCAGCTGTGTGAATGTGATAAAGCTGCTGCCTACTGTTTTGCTGCAAACCTGAAAAGTTATAGCAGAAGGTACCAGTTTTATTACAATGGACTGTGCCGCGGGAAGACCCCGAGTTGCTGAGAGCCACCGTGCTGAATCTTCTTCTCTAAGACCTCTCCTTCTTCCAAGCAAAGGCCCTGGAATAAACAATTCTCTCCCATGGGGGCAAAAAGGAGCCCTCTGGTCTTAGCCAGGAAATGAAATTCAGTGCAGGGAGCAAGTGGGATTGGCCTCTTCCCCTGCTACCACCACCGATTCCTTCCAAGCCCAGCTTCTGGTTTAGCATCAGCAGCTTCACAGCTACACTGGGCGGTGGAGAGGGACTCTCCTTTGAATAAAGTAGTTCATCCACAAACATCATGTATGTATCTTTTTGCGTGTGCGTGTATGTGTGCCGGCTCATTCACAGTCACCCTTTGTGTACACAGTGAATGAGCTCAAAATCCAAGCTCTGAATGCAAGCTGTCTGTGTCCAGTTCTCTCCTGCTCCACAGCCCTAAGCCTTGGTGTTCTCACTAAAACAGAAATAACACTCGTGCCTCCTTTTTTAAGAATTAAAAGGGATAGAAAAGCAAAGCACTGGGTCTGGCCTGTCTTCAGCTGCCTTTCTTATTAAGAGTGAGACCCAGGCATCGCGCTCCCCTTCCCAAGTCACAGTGGCACCTACTGGCCTGTTGGGGAATGGAAGAGGTGTCCAAATCAAAATGGAATCCAGGCCCTTGCCAAATCAACTAAAGGAAGCAGGGGGGGTGTGAAGAAGGGGTCTGGTGATTATGTGCCTGATACAAGGAGCACTCATAGGAGATCCACCAGAACCACGACTCTGCACAAAGGACTGCCCTTGGGCATCCTTGTCAAGCAATGAACTGTGCCCACACTCTTAAAACTACCTGATGGGGATTAGACAAGTTTCTTTAGTCCTTGAGAGACTGATAAAAAACAAAATGGGATCCCCAAATTATAAAGTATGCAAAGAAGGTTCGGGTCCAATAACTAGACCCAGTGGTACTGTGGTCCATTTTCATGCAATTCTTTCTTTTTTTTTTTATCAGCAAGAAAGAAATATTTTTAAACTGCAATTATAACGTTAACATGTAAAGTCCTTTTAACCCTCTATACATTGTTTCTTCCTATTTCGAATCTGCACATGTTTTCACTTATATTAAAGACAAATTGAAAACAGGGGAAAAGCTCACTTAAACGTTTTTCTTATGGCATTTCAGCCATTAGAGGAAAAGATAAATATTTTCCAAATAGTGGATTTGCAATTTACAATTCCATGGCAACCTACACCGCTAACAGTTATCCTTCTTGGAGATGAAAATTTGGTTTAAGTGGCTCTAATTGCGGGAAGTGTTGAAACCATTCTGCTTTTTAAAAAGCACATTTATGTTTTAGTCAAAACCCTGAGCAATAAAAAGAGATTAATGCCTCGCATAAACATTATTTCAATTGCAAAACAGACCAGGAAAAATTACAAAAACTTTTTAAAAATAATTTCTAAAAATGTGTCCAGTCTACACTGATTAGTTAACAAAGCCATCCAGGCCAGGAAAAGAAAGATAACTTCATTATTACAATCAAGGTCATTTGGAGATAGTTTTTTAATTCTAGCCAGTCCTATCTCAAATGTAAATATCTAAGAGTTAACCCCTATATTCATACAAGACTGAGGTAAAAGAGGAAAGGAGGGAAATATCTCCAATGTACCATTTTGTTCAAATAGAATAGTTGCCTCTTTTTATTATGTATATTTTCTTGCTTTAATCCTGTCACAGGATATCAAATTACAATTACTCTTTATGAAAATATATCATTGCTAATAATACACATTTTACCTGGATAAATCCCAGTTCTGATGTCAGATATATCAACCTAAGTAAAAATAAGAGATTTTACACAGAATAACAATTGGAGGGGGAGGGAGGACATGGCTGAACTTTGCTAGATCTGATTGCTACTTAGGTTGACAAGCAAAATAAAAATGTTAGTCTTGAAGATTAAGAGAGTTATAATTGCCCTTATTTGCACAGAATGTGTTGCCAGTCTGGTGGCAGGGAAAGGCAGGGCAATGTAATGCAGGCCAATAATGCAGGCTGTACATTATCTGCTCACCAGGGCCACTTCCTTGTGACACTATGTCAAAGCTCTGCTGCAGCCACTGAAATTCTTATTGATCTCTAGACAAAGAGTCTTTGCACTTCTGTGCTACCTAAGTGGTGTAGCTGGAGGGAGGCCAGGACCGTATTATTGCTCAGTGCTGATTCTTAACTTTGGAGAGAAAATGAAATGCCTTGAAGCCTTTGTTAAATATTGCCAAACACTTTCTTTCTTCTGCCTTGATCTGTTGGAAGGAAAAGGCAGAGTAACTTAATTTGCCTCTGCCCCATCTCTCTCCAGTCAAGACTTCATGCCTTTCAGCTAATATTCTGCCAACAACATTTTCAACCCAATGCTTTGTGTGCAAAATTCCTGAGAGCATCTCATGTGTAAGCTCACACTGAATGACGTCTGAAGGATGTGACGGATGTGAAGGATGGAATGCCAGTTTGCTTCATTTTGTACTGAGAATCATCTGTCTATTTCTTTGTACGTTCAGTATTGCTACCAAGAGGTCTGCTATTAATCTGACACTTAACTTTGAATGATGGCCAGCTTTCTCTCTGGATTCATTTCCATCTAGAAGCACAGAACAGCCCTCTTTGTTTTAAAGCACATTTTCCTCTATTGATACAGCTTGCCTAATTGGCTGGGTTTTTAAAAAAATCTGTCTTGTTTGTACTTGAAGTTCCTTTCAATTTCGTTTAATTAGAGGAATTTTTAAATCTTATTTATTTTAACACATTGTCTCTTTCACTTTCCCTCTTTTTCTTAACAGTTCTTTTTGTGAGTGTTGGAGCATCTATTTGCTGTATCTCTGGACATTTCTTTTCTTTTTTTCTTTAGTTTCTATTTTCTCTTTCACCTGGACAATTTCATAGCCTAAGCTTCTAACTCTGTATCTTCTTCCATGAGCTGTCTCGTTTCAGAGATTGCATTCTTCATAACTAACAACTACACTTGGGCTTTTTAAATGAGTTATTTCTTGTGCTGGCCTGGTATTCATAACATCTCTTATGTGGCCATTCTGTGTCAGATGTCCTGTGTGATCCTGTGTGATCAAGTCAATTTCCTGTTTGCTAGTGGGCGTGGTCTGTGTGTCTCAAGGCAAATTCCGGATGTAAAGAGAAGACGAATCTCAGGGGTGAGCCAGGTGCTGTGACCACGGTTTCCACATTGAACCCAGAGAGGGAGCAGCCCTGGCAGAAGTTGCCCCCGAAGGTGGTAACCAGCCCCACCCTGGGATGTGACAAATAGGCAGCAAAGGATGAGATGAGGAATGGAGGCCTGAAGGCAACCAAATAACTTGCATCTGTGTTCTGCGATTTCTGGTTTAAGGGGTGCTCTTGGAACACCCCCACAGCATGTCTCGAACTTGAACAACTTGGCTTCTGAGATGAATCTTCTGGGATGAAGGGGCAAAGTAACAAGAACTATACCTTAAAAGACTACCTCGTTAAGTAAAATAAGCCAGATAAAGAAAGTTAAATATCGCTTGATTTCTCTTATCTGAGACATCTCTACAAAAATAAGGAAAGATGACAGAAGAGTGAAAAAGTAGATGAGAGAAGGGATTGGGGGACACTGAGTGAGAGGGGACCAACCGGGGTAATAATCATCAAAATACATTACATGCGTGTGCTGATGTACCAAAATGATCGCATTACTCTGCATGGCTAACGTGCACTAATAAAATAAAAATGAAAACGCTTTCTCCTAACCTGCACATAGTTTGTCTAAACTGCCTGTCCTGTGCTAACAGCAAATTCAACTGCTCTCGCCCACAAATATAGCCTGCAGCCAGCATTGCTTCCTCCTTCCTACAAGGCTCTGCAAAGTTCTTTTGTTATTTCCTCACATCTGAGCTTCTTCCTCAGATCTGTCACTTTGTCAGATTGGTTTTGGCAAACGGAGCCAGCAACCTATGTTCATTTGCAATCTTGGCAGAAACATGGTGAAGTACAGTGCAGTGTCTTGTGTATAATTTGAAAGCACACTGAGATCTGAAAACAATATTTTTCAAAGAACCTAAATCTAAATAAACATCAAAAATGGATAATGGAGATGAAGAATAAAGGGGGAAATGAATAAATAAAATCTTTGTCTTCCACAATCCTATGAAAATAATGTGCTATGAAAGGAAACCATGGTCTAAATAGATCAAGAATCCATTAATCATAAGTGCATTTGTCATTTGACTCGGCAATGTCACTAGTAGAAAATTACCCTATAAATGCACACACACTCACATAATCAGGCTTGATCAGCGCACCAGGGAGACAGTGTGAAGTCCCACTCAGAGCTGTCTAAATCTGGCCTTTGCACTGCTAGTGTTGGATTTAGTATGGAGAGAGGAGGACAAGTCCAGCCCCAAGATTTCCAGGCCCTTGTCAATGAGAGAGTCAGAGGACTGTTATCTCCCCTGCAGTCACAGAGACAATACAGGTAAGCACCGCAGTCCAATTGATGGTGGACTTCAAAATCCACCCCTGCTTCAATTTCCTCCTGCAAACTCCATAAAAGCCCCTCAGCCAATAAGAGGGCACGGTTTTGATCCTCCCACCAGCGGTCCCTCTCAGGTTGTATTCCAGCAAAGCCTCTCCTCTTCTGTAGAGATTAGTTTCCTTTTCTTTTTTCCTAATGTCTCCTGACAAACCAGCCCGCTGAGCCTCAGGATCCCAGTTTGCTCTATCTAGCCAGAATGAAATATTCATTTTTCAATTATTGCTATCCCTTGGCTACATTAACAGAGTGCATAGATAATCAAAAACCATGCTCTAGGGTGGAGCTGGCATATCCTGCCTGGTTGCCAGTAGAATTGAGTCAGGTTCCTCGCAGGTGGCAGAAGGGTGACTTCATCAGAGGCTCCTTGGAGCCACACGGATCCACATGCCTTCCACCCCACCTGCCCCTAGACTGCATGTTGCCACAGCTCGTGGTAGCAGAGTGCTTGTGCTTCGTGCCAGGAGGGAGGAGCAAGGCCAGCTGGTCAGGGTGCCCCTCAAGATGCAGGTCGGATGTCCTAAGAATGCGTTAAAATATAAACTTAGGGACATTAAAATTTAGCAAGTTTATTTGCACCAGCACTGATTCGTGGATCGGGCAGCTCCAGATTATAAGACGTTTGGAGCACTAGTGTAGGGGGAAGGGACAGGAGGGAAGGTTTCATAAGGTATTTGAGAAAGTAAGAACAACTCTATCTGTTGCATTGGAAAAGTTGCTTTAGTGGGTAAATTTAAGTTTCACTTTT